GTGACGATAAGTTTCTTTATGTAACCCGAGCTTCACATATGCTGCAGAGCTGTTTGGCACAGCGATCGGAAGAAAATCAGCAGAAGCGCTAGTCTCAAGTATCTGGATGCCCGAACTCGGTCTGCTACCAGAGCTGGGTCCGAACAACTATTCGTATTCTGCTAGGTTTTTTTGACATGATGATGAGTTTTCGATGCAACTCGAGCTGCATATGATCTACAGAGCTGTTTGGTACAGCATTCGAAAGGCATTCATTAGACGCGCTAGTCTTGAGTATTTAGATGCCCGAACTCGGTCTGCTACCAGAGCTGGGCTCGAACAGATATTCGTATTTTTTTTTTGAGAGATTATAATGGTTTCCTTGAGGTAACTCGAGCTGCAGACGAACTACAGAGCTGTTTGGCACAGCAATCGAAAGGAAACCATCAGCAGCGCTAGTCTCAAGTATCTAGATGCCCAAGCTGGCGCCGGCGGTGAACTGTCAACCTGTCACCGCCGGGAACCTCGTAGAGCTCCTTGCACGCGTAAGAGTGTTCAGAATCAAAGCTGAGAGCTTCGGAGAAGATTCTCTTGGAATCTTGATTCTTGCACTCCTTGATGTCATTGTGAACCGATAGTACAACTCCCTCGGGAGAGCTGAGCTGCCCTGACTCGATTTGCTCCCAGAGTTGGAACCAAACAACTATTCGTATTCAATTTTTTTATCAGAGATGACGATGCCTTTCTTGATGTAGCTCGAGCTGCAGATGTGATTGGAGCGGTTCGGCACAGAAATTGGACGAATGATCAGGAGCGCTCGTTGCAAGTATCTGCGTGTTTGAGATTGGTCTGCTACCAGAGCTGGAACCGACAACTATTCGTACTCCTGCTCTTCGTCCTCGTCCTTCCCCTCCTTGTCCTTCTCCTCTTCCTCTTTCATCTGCTCTTTCTCCTCTTTCTTCTCCTGCTCCTTCTCGTCCTCCTTCTCCTCATCTTCTCATCATCATCATCATCATCATCGTCGTCCCCCTTCTCCCTCTCCGCTCTTCCGCTCCTGCTTGTCATCTCTCTTCCTCCTCCCCCCATTCTCCTCTTCCTGCTGCTTTTTCTCTTCATCCTTCTCTTCCTCAGCCTCCTCCATCTCCATCTTCACTCCTTCTCTTCCATGTCCTCCTCCATGAAGCCGCACCCTCGCGCGCGCGGAATGCGAGATTGCCGCGCCCGCGTTCCACTTGTGTAGATCGAGAGAGCTCTGCGAGTTCCCGGCAGTAGCAAAGGTTGACGGCTTACCGCTGGATCCCAGCATTACTGTCAAAATGCATTCAGGCGGGATCGGCTGTTTAGTGTAGTCTTGACGGGTGCTGTCGGTTTTCTGAACTGCAGATGAGCTGCAGAGTTGTTTGGCACGGCAATCGAAAGGAAATCGCCAGCAGCGCTATTCTCAAGTGTCCAGATGCCCAAAATCGGTCTGCTATCAGAGCTGGGTCCGAACAACTATTCGTACTCTGCTATGTTTGGAGAGATCGTGATCAGTTCGTCGATGTAACTTTAGCTGCGAATGAGCTACAGAGCTGTTTGGCACAGCAATCCAAAGCACATCATCAGAAACGCTATGTCTCGGCCATCTAGATGCTCGAACTCGGTCTGCTACCAGAGCTGGGTTCGAAGAAATTTTTCGTATTCTCTTAATTGTTTAAGACATAAATATTACTTTCTTGAGATAGCTCGAGCTGTAGATGAGCTGCAGAGCTGTTTGGCACAGCAATCGAAAGGAAACCATCATAAGCGCTAGTTTCGATCTGGATGCCCGAACTCGGTCTGCTGCCAGAGCTGGGCCCGACAAACTATTCGTACTCTGCTAATTACCTAACAGCTCTTGCTGATAGGTTTCTAGTGGTGTCGAAAGAGAGCATCTTGACGCGCCAGGGGGGTCTGGGCGGGACCCGGACAGGGGATCCGGCAAGATCCGCCAGCCCTAGAAATCCTTAGGAATCATTAGTAATCCTTAGGAATTCTGGGGAATCCTTAGGAATCCATTCCCAGAACACCATTCCCAGCACACATTTTGATTGGCCGGGGCCAGCTGTAGGCCACTTTCTGTTATTTCGTGTTCCCAGAACGCCGTTCCCAGGCCACGCTTTGATTGCCCGGAGCCAACTGTAGGCCACTTCGTGTTTTTCGTCTTCCCAGAACACCATTCCCAGGCCACATTTTGAATGCCCGGAACCAACTGTAGGCCACTTCGTGTTCTTCGTGTCCCCAAAACTAATTCCCAGGCCACATTTGGAAAGCCCGGGGCCAACTGTAGGCCATTTCGTGCTTTTCGTGTTCCCGGAACGCCATTCCTGAGGCAGGCTGAGGCTGAGGCAGGCTGAGACAGGCTGGGGCAGGCTGGGGCTGAGGCTGAGGCCGAGGCAGGCTGAGGCTGAGAGGCTGACGCTAAGGCTGAGGCAGGCTGAGGCTGAGGCTGAGGCAGGCTGAGGCTGAGCCTGAGGCCGAGGCAGGCTGAGGCTGAGGCTGAGGCAAGACGAGGCAGGCTGAGGCTGAGGTTGAGGCTGGGGCAGGCTGAGGCTGAGGCTGAGGCTGTGGCTGAGGCTGAGGCACGCTGCGGCTGAGGCAGGCTGAGGCTGAGGCTGATGCAGGCTGAGGCTGAGGCAGGCTGAGGCTGAAGCTGAGGCAAGCTGAGGCTGAGGCTGACGCTGATGCAGGCTGAGGCTGAGGCCGAGACAAGCCGAGGCAGGCTGAGGCTGAGGCTGAGGCTGATGCTGAGGCAGGCTGAGGCTGAGACAGGCTGAGGCTGAGGCTGAGGCTGAGGCTGAGGCAGGCTGAGGCTGAGGCAGGCTGAGGCTGAGGCAGGCTGAGGCTGAGGCTGAGGCAGGCTCAGGAGGCTGGGGCAGGCTGAGGCTGAGGCAGGCTGAGGCTGAGGCTGAGGCAGGCTGAGGCTGAGGCTGAGTCTGATGCAGGCTGAGGCTGAGAGGCTGACGCTGCGGCAGAGGCAGGCTCAGGCTGAGGCTGAGGCAGGCTGAGGCTGAGGCTGGGGCAAGCCGAGGCAGGCTGAGGCTGAGGCGGAGGCTGAGGCTGGCTGAGGCAAAGGCTGAGGCAGTGGCTGAGGCTGAGGCAAGCTGCGGCTGAGGTTGGCTGAGGCTGAGGCTGATGCAGGCTGAGGCTGAGGCAGGCTGAGGCTGAGGCTGAGGCAGGCTGAAACTGAGGCTGAGGCTGAGGCAGGCTCAGGCTGAGAGGCTGAGGCTGAGGCTGAGGCAGGCTGAGGCTGAGGCTGAGGCTGAGGCAAGCCGAGGCAGGCTGAGGCTGAGGCTGAAGCTGAGGCAGGCTGAGGCTGAGGCTGAGGCCGAGGCAGGCTGAGGCTGAGGCCGAGGCTGAGGCCGAGGCAGGCTGAGGCTGAGGCTGAGGCTGATGCTGAGGCAGGCTGAGGCTGAGACAGGCTGAGGCTCAGGCTGAGGCAGGCTGAGGCTGAGGCAGGCTGAGGCTGAGGCAGGCTGAGGCTGAGGCCGAGGCAGGCAAATCCTTCGGAATCGTTAGGATTCCCGAGGAATCCGAAGGAATCCTGAGGAATCCCTAGGAACCAGGATTCTTAAGGATTCTGAAGGTTTCCTAAGGATTCCGATGGATTCCATTGGATGCCTAAGGATGCCCTAGGAATCCTTAGGAAGCCTGAGGATTCCATTGGATCCCAAGGCCGTTGCCACTGCGACTGTCATTGCGACTGCGACTGCGACTGCGAGAACAGCAGAATTCTACAAGTGGATTCTCGCTTGAATCTTAAGGGGAATGCTTCCAGGTATGCGTATACAAATCGCTGTTAGGTTGCTTTGCCGGGATAATTTTAGAAAAGGGATGATGGACTTTCTTGAGATAGCTGGAGCTGCATAGGAACTTCAAAACTGTTTGTCACAGCAATCGAAAGGAAATCATCATAAGCGCTGGACTCAAGTATCTACATGCTCGAACTCGGTCTGCTTCTAGAGTTGGAACCACAAAACTATTCGTACTTTTTTTCCGTAGATGACGATGCCTTTCTTGATGTAGCTCGAGCTGCAGATGAGATTAGAGCTGTTCGTCACAGCGAGCGGACGAATATCATCAGGAGTCCTAGTTGCAACTATCTACATGTTTGAAATCGGTCTGCTCCCAGAGCTGGAACCAAACAACTATTCGTACTCCTGCTCCTCGTCCTCTTCCTTATCCTCCATCTCCTTTTCCTCTTCCTCCTTTATCTGCTCCTTCTCCTCTTTCTCCTTCTGCTCTTTCTCTTCCTCCTTCTGCTCATCTTCCACATCTTCATCATCATCTTCGTTCCTCTTCTCCCCCTCCCCCCTCCCCCCTCCTGCTCGTCACCCTCCTCTTCCTCCTCCCCCTCCTTCTCCTACGCCTGCTCCTTCTCCTCCTTCGTCTTCTCGTCCTCAGCCTCCTCCATCTCCTTCTCGTCCTCACTCCTTCTTCTCCACGTCCTCCTCCGTGAATCCGCACCCTCGCGCTCGCGGAATGCGAGATTGCCGCGCCCGCATTCCATTCATGTGCGTCGAGGAAGCCCAGCGAGTTCCCGGCGGCAGCCAAGGTTGACGGTTTTGCGCCGGCTCCCAGTTCTCAGCCAGACTCGAGACAGCACCGAGGCCACTGCGATGGGTCTGGTATCCGATTCACGTATCAGAATACCTGCAATAGGTCAACCACAAATCATTTCCAGCAAATGATTCGGAAGACGTCCTCGAAGTAGAACAGCACGCCGAGAGGTATCCAGCCGCAACTCGAAGTGCTCGCGCGTGATGGTCGGGAAAAAGCGTGTCAAATTTCCGGAGCTCACGATAATTCCAGCCATCTAGGCCAGCGCGCCCCTTTGCTTGTTTCAACGCCTTTTCGAACGTGTCGTAATCAGGTACCCAATCCTATGCCATTGGAGACTGAGGGAACACGACCTGATCTGCATGGTGTCGCCACCTCTCCAGATGACGATCAGGATGATAAACTTCTGGACTGCAGACTTGATGCCATTGACGCCTCATCTCCTCTGCGGCCATGGCCGCTGCTGGAGACGAACTTCTGAAAATTGGTGTAGCTGCAGACCAAACCTCAGAGGACCACGTCGCGAAACGCTGCCTCCAGTTCTTGTTCGACCGCTGCTGCAACTGAGCTTGCTCACGAGAAATAGCATGTGATAACCAGGCAAGAGCATCTCCATAGGTAGGATGCCCTATCGCCTTCACCTCCACGATCCCGTCAAGCGCAGCCAACGCCAACTGACATAAATGCTTGACACTGAGACCTGACGTAGGATGTCCGTCTCGCCGAAGGGCATCCGCAAAACGTCGATGCAGCCGTAGGAGTCTCCGCAGCGCGATGGACTGATCTTCACGATGGTGTGGGGAATTGGCGGTCGGCCGCGTCGAAGCCGCCGAACCTTTGGCCCTCTCTGCTCTGTTCTCAAGCATAACACACTGATGACTAACTGCAACATCCAATGCGCACCCCGCCCGCTGATGCCAGTAGCGCCAGCGCTCAACAAAGTCTTTATGTTCTGATTCGTCTGGCTCGGGAAGGTGAGGTCGGCCCATGAGTTCATCGACCCGCTCCCTCATGCGACTGCACTCCTCCTCGGAAACCAATTTCTCGAGCTGCACGAAGGCAGCGGTGCGTCGGAGACGCTCAGTTTTTTGTCTCCGACAAAGGGAATAACCAACTCATGTAAAATGCAACAGTGATGCGGGACTCCTGGTAGTAGTTCTGTGCGAGCATGTACTGGCGGAGCACCTGAATGAAGGGCGCGTGTGGGCTGTGTCCCCGCAACTGTGGTCGACGTATCGACTCCAGCTTTGGCAGTATTGATCTTCCAGTGTACCGCCGCATCAAGGTAGGCCCGTCTCGAATTGAGATCCCCAACCACATGGGTTTGACAGCCTGTGATGCTCATGTTCTGGAGGATGGTGAATGCATTCTGAATCCAATTGCGATTCACTTCAGCAGGTCCATATACTGACAAGAAGGTGGCCGAAGGAAAACGACCACCAATCAGCCGGTGGCCCAGCTGTGAATTGCGAAGCACCGTAGCTCTACCCAAGGACCTTCTCCAAATAATGATACACCCACCTTGCCGCGGTGCTCCTCGTAGATGTTCCCCGGCGATGACAATGGGTGGAGGCGCGGAGCAGGCCGCGCTCCATTTTGCCCGAACTGCTTGTTGTATGATCCAGCGCGGTCGTTCGTCGTAGTGTCGAGACTCGTGTATGCAAAACACCCCCGCTTCCTGGGCCGCGGCAGAGTGAGCCTGGCCTTCGTGAGACACGTGATATTGATCGAGCATACCGCCAACCTCGTCGGAGGAAGGAGGTTCTGCTTCACCTGGTGTGGGGTCCTGGGCAGGTCCGCCGTGTCGGGGGCCTGCTGTGGATGGTCTTCTGGATGTACGTGTACGCGTCATCGTGCTTGTCCTTGATCTCCTGCATGTGGGAGACCCGCTTCTCGTGGAACATGTCGTTCTCCTGGTTACTGCGACTCTGTGACCCGAGCAGAACTGCTTGCTTTAAAGCTGGAGAAGAAGAAACACTTGTACCAGCAGCTGTTGGATCCGCAAATACGGCCTTTGAATTCCGGTCCGCAAAGACGGCCTTTCAATTCTTCCGTGCTTTCTTGGGAAGAGTTTCTCGTCCGGAGATCCCCGCTGCCGAGGGTTCTGTCCGCTGCTTCTTGTGACTCGGCTCCTGCTGGAACGCCGATGTGCGCCGCCGCCCACCGCCCGTCCCGTTACAAGGAAGATGTTGCCGTCGCCGCCGCCGCCGCCGCCGTCGTCGCCGCTGCTGCCGCCGCCGCCGCCGCCGCCGCCGCCGCCCACCGTCCGCCGCCCGCCGCCCTTCGCCCGCCGCTCGCCGCCAGCCGCCCGCCGCCCGCCGCCGCCGCTGCCGCCGCCCCCGCTGCCGCCGCCGCTGCCGATGATGATGATGATGACGACGATGATGATGATGATGATGATGATGATGATGATGATGCTGTTGATGATGATGATGGTGATGATGATGATGGTGCCCCGATGATTATGATGGTGATGCTGATGGCAATGATGATGATGATGATGATGATGATGATGATGCTGATGATGATGATGATGATGATGATTATGATGATGATGATGTTGGTGACCATGATGATGTTGATGATGGTGATGCTGAGATGAGGATGATAGGAACATGATGATGAGGGTCATGAAGATGATTCGGATGATGATGCTGTCCCGGTGATGATGATGAGGAGGTTGATGATGATGCTGTTGACGATGCTGGTGATGATGATGATGGTGTCCCGATGATGATGATGACGATGTTGATGATGATGACGATGATGGTGTCCCAATGATGATGACGATGCTGCAGATGAGGATGATGATGAAGTGTTGCTGATTTTAATGCTGGTGGCCCGACGGTCGTGATGATGATGCTGCTGATGTTGATGAGGATGGTGTCCCCACGATGATGATGGTGATTGATGATGATGGTGACGATAATGATATGATGATGGTGTCCCAACGATGATGATGATGTTGATGATGATGTTGCTGATGATGATGATTGTCTCCCGATGATGATGTTGATGATGTCGAGTATCATGATGATGATGTGATGATGCTGATGATGGTAGTCTTTCGATGATGGTGGTGATGGTGTCCCGATGATGATGATGTTGATGAGGATGATGATGGTGACGATGATGGTGCGCCGATGATGATGATGATGATGGTGATGATGCTGTTGATGATGATGCTGATGAGGTGGTGATGATGACGATGGTGTCCCGATGGTGATGATGCGGATGATGATGATGATGTTGATGGCGTTGATGACGATTGTGTCGATGATGATGATGAGGACGTTGATTGTGGCATGGATGGGATTGTGATATCGATCGTTTGAGCGATGGTGAGACCGAATGTGAAATCGATTGTGATATCGATGGTGTGGGCGATAGTGATATCGTTTGTGATATCGATAGTTAGATCGATTGTGATATCGATCGAATGAAATAGTTCGAGTGATCTCGACTGTGAGATCGATCGAGTGAGATCGATCGAGCGATACCGATAGTGAGATCGATATGGAGATCGATAGTGACACCGATCGGGTGAGACGTTGATCCCCCCTCAACCTCCTTATCACCCGAAGGGTGGTCGTACAGGTATGTATAGGGTTATACTTATGCATGGTCCATTGACTCCTGCTACTGCTGTTGCTCCACATTCAGCTCCACCACCTTACCCTCCCACTCTCTCCTTCTCCTTCTCCTCCCTCCCTCTCCCTCCTTCCCTCCCTCCCTCTCCTTCTCCCCCTCTCTTTCCTCCTGCTTCTCTCTCCCATTCTCCCTCATTCCCCCCCGTTCCCTTCACATCCTGCTACTGGTCATGCTCCTGTTTCGCAGCCCGGCGGCTCAAGCGCGTTCAGGCCGTGAACTTGGTCAGAGTAGTAACGCGCTGTGTTCGGCCCGGGACCATGGTGGAGATCGAGCCCCGCGTGTGGGGGGTCGCAGGGGAACACCCAAGCTCATGTATTTCCAAACTCATGTATGTCTTTTCTCGGCCCTCTTTCCTCCTCCCTCCCCGCCTCCCCCCCTTCCTCTTTCTCCCTCCTTTCTCACCCTCCTCCTCCTCCTCCTCCTCCTCCTCCTCCTCCTCCTTCTCCCCCCACCTTACCTTTTCCTTTTGTCTGCATCTTCTCCTCCCCTTTCCTTTCGTACTCCTGGGTTTCCTCCTCTTTGCACCCCTTAGCGCCGCCATCTCTCTGTCGTCTTTCCGTCGTTGTCGTCCTCCTCCTCCTTCTCCTCCTTATCCTCCTTCTCTTTGTTTCTTCACCAATCCTCTGGTCCCTCTTCTCAATCCAGATTCCAGATCCCATACTCCTCGTGCCCCACGATCCACGTCCCTCGTCCCACTTCTTTCGCGGATCGCACGCTCGGCAGTCCCATGGGGAACAGAGAGCCTCCTGCCTCCTGCTTCGTCCCGCATCCCTCCCGGTTCCTTCGTCTTTCCTCCTGCCCCCCTCGTCTCTCCTGCACCTTCCTCCCTCGTCCTTCCTCTCCTTCCCCTCCTGCTTATCAATCTCTTGAGAAGTTTGCCTGGCAGAAGTCCACAGCAGAAGAAGCTTCCCCCGTTCCCTTTCATCTCACACTCTCTTTCTCTCCCCTCTGCCGCCTCCTTGTCCTCACAACTTCCCCTCTCCGCCTCCTCCTCCTCCTCGTCCTCCTCCTCCTCCTTCTACTCCCCTCCTCCTCCTCCTCCTCCTCCTCGCAGTTCGCCAAGGTACCGTGCTGGGTTCACCTCTGGACACTGGCGCCGCCCTCCCGCGGGGGCCGTCGGGTTGCGTTTTCTCGGGGCCTGGGGTGTGCGGCACTGGCGGGCGGGTGGTGGACTTCCTGGCATGACCCTTGCTGGCCTCAGGCAGTAGGGGTCATAGCAGGGCGGCTTGCTAGTCTGTTTTGGGCTTCTTGGGAATTTCCTTGTCGCCGTCTGTTGCGGGCTCCTGCAAGGGAGCCCAACGAGTGCGTTGCCCCAACGGTGCGTGCCACTTGTGAGTGTTCTGTTCGGCTGCTTGGCCGTTCCAGCTGGGACTGCCCCCCCAATTGCCGTCCAATCCTATCCAAACCTACCTTCATCGCTGCTCGTCTCCTCCAGTCCTCCTGCCACTCCTTCTGTTCCTCCCTCTTTTCCCCCCTGGTCCTGCCCGCTTCTCCTCCTTTTGCTCCTTCTTCTCTTCCTCCTCCTCCTCCTCCTCCACCTTCTCCTCTTCTCCTCCTCTTCCACCTTCTGTCACGATTCTTCGCTCTCCTTGTCTTTCCTCCTCCTCCTCCTCCCTCCTCCTCCTCCTCCTCCTCCTCCTCCTCCTCCTCCTAGGTCGTGGTAATCTTGGTCAATATCTTGCGAAAGATGTGTGGCAACGAGGTGCTCGAGGAGGCGTTGATCGCCCTGAGCTTTGTCCTGACCTACGTCTTCGGCTCTTCCTGCGCCAACCATTGCAACCAGGCGGATAGGTTCGATCATTTGAACGTGACCTACCTCATGCTCGCCCTCCTCGCTCACTTCGGTTCCTCGTGACCGTATTCTTCCCTCCTCACCCTCCTTCGCGCTCTGTTCCCTCTTTCCTTTCTTTTTTCTCCCTCGTCCTCCTCCTTTCCCTCGCCTCCCCCTCTTGGGCTGTGGGTTTGTTTCCCTGCACGGACGGGCAGGGCGGCATTTCTTGCCCATCTCGCTGGGCAGATCCTCTCCTGTGGCCTCTCTCCTGCTTCCAGCCTGCGCCGGCAAACGCCCGCCAGGCTGCTCAACATCCGTTCGCAGCTGAGCTGAGTAATGCGATATCAACGTCACCCCACCATACTAATACTATGTGTGCGCCGACCTTCCAGGGGCGACGCGCTCGCCGAGAATTCTCTCTCCCTCTACAAACACATATACATGAATATACATGTATATATGATTGAGGGACAAATTAGGTCTATGCGTCCTCTGAGCTCTACGCGTCCTCTGAGATCTACGTGAAGATAGACAAATAATTGGACGCATTCTCAGTATTTAAATTCGCCGGCCCAACGGGCCAGGGCGTGCTAAGATCTCCGGTACCTGGTTAACAGTATTTCTAGTTCGCGCGCGCGGGGCGGCCCCTGGGGGTCCCCGGGCGAAAAGTACCCCGGCAAGGTCCCGGCAAGTCCCCGGCAAGTCCCCGGCAAGGTCGGGTCAGAGATGCCGGAGTTCTGTTTCGGAGTCCAAGAGGGCTCCAGATCGGTCCAAGAGGGCCCCGAGAAGCTTTCTAGACGGTCCAAGAGAGGCCCGAGACGGCCAAAGATCGCCCGAAGACGCCCCAGATGGCCCCAAGACAGCCCAAGAGGCCTCCAAGACGCTCCAAGGGCCTTCCAAGAGGCCTCCGAAGAGGGCCCCAAGTTGCCAAAATCGTTGATTTTCATTGGTTTTTTTCGATGTTTTTTTGCGTTCTGGCCTTTTCGCTTCCGGACGCTCCAAGAGGGCCCAAGAGGCCTTCAAGACTGCTCCAAGACGGCCCACGAGGCTCCCAAGACGGCCCCGGAGCGGCCCAAGAGCGCCCCCCAGACGGCCCAAGTGCTGCCCAAGGCGGACCAAGAGGCCCCAAGACGGGCCCAAGAGGGGCTCAAGAAGGGAACCGAGAACTGAAAAATCGAGCCCTCCGCCCCAGAAGGCGCCCAGGACCCCGAAAGAGGCCCCAAGAGACTCTCCAAGACACCCCCAAGACGCCCCAATAAGCTCCCGTGAGGCCCCAAGAGGACCAACAACGTCAGGCCCCAGGCCCCAAGAGGACCAACAAATACCGCCAAGAGCCCGCCGAAAGCCCCCCAAGAGACCGTCACGAGAGCTCAGGAGGCCCCCTGGAGGCCTCCCGAGTTCTCCAAGAGGCCTAAAAAGAGGCGCCAAGAGGCCCCAAACGGCCCCACCGAGGCTCCAAGAGGCCACGAACGCGCAAGCAAACGCCTGCGATGGCACAATACGGGCCGGCGGAATGAGCGAAGCGATTAATTTGTTTAAATAAGTGAAATCATTCAACATATTTAGTTTATCAAGATTGTTTGATTTATGAAAATTGTTTACATTATTTAACTTGTTTGAATTATTGAAAGTATGGCAAGTATCTAGATTCGTTGGGTTTTTAAAAGGTGCTGGTGTGTGAGAGCGCCCGCCTGCTGATCATGCTCCCATAACAGTGTAGATTTCTTCAAGCAATTCATTTTTTTTTGGAAAAGGTTTAATACTTGCAATAGTTTAAAAGGCCCAAAGTATTTGAATTACTACTGTCTTCAAAGCATATGATGCATTCAAATGGCTTGAATTACTAAACCTCGATTTTTCTTGTGTGAAAAATATTGAAATGTGCTGGGTGTGCCTAATCAGCAGGCAGGCGTTCTCTCACACACACCAGCACATTTAGATAGTTTTATTAATTTAAATACATTGAGTGACTAATTTTTGACTTTTTCTGTATACATTTATATTTGCATTTATATGTTTCAAACTTATTTTTTTTTTTTACAAAAAGAAGATGTATATACTTTTTTGTTTACAACAAGTATTCAAAGTATTTTAATTTATTTTAATTGTTGAATTTTTTAACATGTGCTAGGAGCCTGATCAGCAGGCATGCGTTCTCACACACCAGCACATTTAAACAATGTGCATAATTTAGACAATTGAAATAATGTAACTATTCTTTACACACTAAAGTAACACAATTAACTTTTTAAGTCGTTTAAATTCTTCTAATTATTTGACTTTTTTTAAATTATCTACATCTTTTCAATGCGCCAGGAGCCTGACCAGCAGGCAGACAGTCTCACACACCAGCACATTTAAATACTTTGAATAATTTCAGTATTTCAATTAAGTAGCACAGATTTAAATACTTCAAATAATTTGGAAAGTTATTTTTAAACAGGATTTTTGTGGGTATTATACATATATGCAGATACAAACTTTAAATATATCATGTACATTATTTAAATGTGCTGGGAGCCTGATCAGCAGGCAGGCGTTCTCACACACCCGCACATTTAAACAACCCAAATACTTTAATTAATGTAAATTATCCACATACTTCAAATACATTAAATAATTTGATTCCTTCGGATTTACTAAATGTTTAAAAGTACTCAATAATTGAAAACTATTAAATTATTAGAATTATTCGCATTAATCAAACTATTTTAATGTGCTGAATTGCTGATGACGTACCACATAGGCCCCCAAGAAGCTTTCATAACGCTGTCAGACGTCCTCCACCCTCCCGCATTTCCTTTCAGTCTTATCGGCTCATCGGATGATCGGCTGCTCGACCGCTGATCGGCTTATCGGCTGACCGGCTGTTCGAAAGCTGATCGGCTGCTCGGATGCTCGACCACTCTCAAGCACTTTCTCTTCTCTGTCCTACTCCTCCTGCTCCTTTTCTTTCTCGTCCTTGTTATTTTTCTCGCGGGGGTTTGAAAACAAAAACGCCTGGCTCTCGCTCTTCGCGCTCTCCTGCTCCTTCTCACTGATCCCCCTGCCTCGTCTTCATAGAGACGTTGCAAAGATTTTCACGCAGGCGCGACCGACCGGTTTTCGACAAGAAGCGCTTTCTTGCTAACAAAAACATAGAAATCAATCCGAAGCGATCTCGGCGATTGGCCCGATCCGTAAAAGTATGGCATTTCGCTATAGAAACAAACCAAGGCCGAATCTGGAGCGCAACAGCTGCAGCATACATCGACACGCGGTTCGCAAACATTTTTCTGACTTTAAGGCATTCTCACACAAATAATTTCGATACCAGCGAAAAACAATTTTATACAATCCATAGCTGTACAACTTGTACAGCAGTTGCTACATACAACACAAACGCGTTGATCTCTATTTCTCGAATATGTACAAACCCAATAAAAAAAAAAACGGAAGAAACACACGACATGTCGAAAACCGGTCGGTCGAATTCGCTTGCTACGGTGTGGAGTTTTTTTTTTTTTTTTTTTTTTTTTTTTTTTTTTTGTTTGACTCTTATTCGCATGTTCCACACATTTCCCATTGCGCACACCTTCACCAACCAGGACTGTCAAGGACGACAACGATCACATACACAAGCGAAATCGTGCAGACGCTACGTCTTTTGAACACGGCAGCACGTTCCCGTAAAATATGCATTCGCCGAAAATCTGGAAAAATGTAACGGACGGGGTTCAATAATATGAGTTTCAAACATTGAACAGGAACTCGGAAACATCTCCAAAGATGTTGCTTGGAATAGAATTCGCGAAAAAAACATATCCACGCAACGTTATCACATTCCTAATCATATCCGTCGTCAATCTAACATCGATATATATATATATATATATATATATATATATATACATACATATATATTTATATATGTGATGTTTTCGAATATATGTATATGTATTTATATATAATTATATATTTATATATAGATATATTTATGTATATATATGTTAAGTATAACATGGCAGCACTCCCCCTGTCTACTGTGCATTATTTGGGACATCTCTGCGTTTCCTTTTCGCACTCCCGGGTGAGCCAACAAAAAGGCCCTGGGGCAAAGTAGAACTCGACGGATTCGAAAAGTCTCAAACATACAACTTGTTACTTATATCTGTCTTTAATATGAAACAGGTATCTGCCCAATATGGCCCAAGGGGCCCCCAGAGGCCCCACAAGAGAGCATGCGGAAGCATACGACATATATGTGTCCTCCTCCTCCGCCTCTTCTTCCTCATCCTCCTCCTGCTCCCTCCCGTGCCGCGCTGACGAAGGCGAGGTCGAGCTCACGACCAACGTGAGTGTATACAACTCGTTAGACATGCGTTCCTCCTACACATCCTTCTTCCTACCGCGCTGTTGCACAGGCACGGTGGCGGGGGTTGCCGCAGGCATGTGGGTAAAGTAGGCGAGCTCCCCGAACGTCCACGGGAGGTTCCTAATGGGGGGAGGGGGGAGGAGGATGGAGGAGGAGAAGGAGGAGGAGGAGGAGGCCGATGCTGAGGCCAAGGCCGACGCTCGTCGTCGTGGTCGTCGTCGTCGTCGTGGTTGTCGTGGTCGTCGTGGTCGTCGTGGTCGTCGTCGTCGTGGTCGTCGTCGTCGTGCGTCGTCGTCGTCGTCGTCGTCGTCGTCGTGGTCGTCGTCGTCGTCGTCGTCGTCGCCGTCCGACACCGCGCTAACGCTCCCGCTCCAGGGATCCCCAGGAGGCCCGACACCACGCTAACGCCCCGAACTCCAAATGCGTCCCAGAGGCCTCCCACAAGATGTCGCACAACAGCATGGCGATGCTGATCCGCCACCGTGCCCCCCTGGCACGTTGAGGCGTGCTAGAATGCCAAGTGCTGGTCTGGTAGGGTTTGTGGTAATCTTCTTTTCGAGACGGCCCCAAGAGAGCCCAAAGACTGCCCAAGAGGCCTCCAAGACGCCCAAGATGGCCTCCATGACGGCCAAGATGGCCCCAAGAAAGCCCAGGATGGCCCCAAGATGTCTCCAAGACGGCACAAGATGCACCCACAACGGCCCAAGATGGCCTCAAGATGGCCCAAGACGGCCCAAGACGCCCCCAAGAGGCTTCCAAAACATCCCAAGACGCCCCAAGACGGCCCAAGACGAGAAGGTGTCACATGTGACGGCTCTCTCTCTGTCTTCGTCGTACTCCTCCCTTTCCTCCTCCTCCTCCTGCTCCTCATCCTTCCGCCTCGTCATCCACACCATCACCATCACAATCACCATCACCATCATCATCACCAACATCACCAAGCCTGGAGATACAACGCAACACAGGTTAGGACATCCGAGAGCCCTTGCGCAACAACCACCGAGACAGCTGGGCGGGCGCGGTGGCGGGATTTGCCGCAGGCAGCTGGATATTCCTCATGGATCAGATTCAGAATCAGAAACAGAAGGCGGGATGCCACCGCAAACTGCCCAGTCATAATTAGGGTCCGTCTGGATTTCCGCGCCAAGAGGGAGCCCTACAGATACGTCGCAAAAGGTTGAAATGGACATCTGGCAATGATACAGTCACACATCTACTTTCTATTCCTAGATTACATTTTCAAAAACAAGCGCGTCTTTACAGATACCGCGCGAAACATTGATAAGGCTTCCAGTGATCCATGAGTGTCCAGTATAGCGCCAGTGTAAACAACATCTGCATACATAGTATCAACAGAAAGATAACCTTTCTAAGTGTACATTGCTTTTAATGACTTGTTGCACTCACAGAATCCACATATAATATCCAGTGCTGATCTCTGACCGTATGTATCGCTGTGGTCAACCTGCGCGCGGCTAGCGGCATACCGCAAGACGGGGATATAGTGCTGACCCTTCACATCCGCAGGCTGGTTAAAACAGCCAATTGGCCGTCCGACAAGGCCCTATGCCGATGACAACCAATTTGTGATATTGCTGCTTCACACTTTCTCTATCGGCATCACGGTCAATGTAGAGATCACAAGTATCTTCTACATCGGATAAAACTTCCTTGGTTCGGAAGCCGGGCCCCCCGAAACCCTTCAGTTGCTTCCGAACCCTGTCATACAGGGTTTCGACTTGGAAATCCTCCAGAAAAACTCGCATAAAGTCTCCGCACAAGCTCGCTGCTCGATCCAGGCTAATATAAAGCTCCCATAGCCCCGCGTCGCACAGCTCCTCTTTATAACCACGCATGGGATTGGTACCGAAAGCGTTGCCATCAACCTGCAAAATGAAACTGTCGAGATCAACGAGGTTCGCAATGCTACCCCGCTGTTTATCAGAAAGTCTCAGAAACGGGAAAGATCTCTCGAACAACGCATTGCGGACTGAAACAGATAAAGTGGACCGGACAAGCACGGCGTTGGGGAAAAGCTCCGTTGCGCGACGAAGAGAATCACCGCTCGAAAGGTGATCTCTGTAATGCCGATGCGCAGCTAGGGTCACAGGAGATTCTGTTCTCGATCTTTCGTTAACGCGATACATAAATCCGCCCCCCGCGCCGATTGGTCGGGCTCACGCACGCGCGATCGATCGCAATTTACCCCGGGAAACTTTACCCATCGATCGGATACTCCATGCGCCTCGAAAACCCAGCGGCTTCGCCCCGCCCAGAAGAACTACGCACCCTGCAAAGGATAGCCGCAGGAAGCGACTGGCAAAACATATGGACATCCTGAGTGCAACAGATGAAGCGGCGGAAAGGCCGTAGGCCGATGTATAATACTTGCATCTAAGGTAATAAGCTCTTTCGCCTTCAAAGTGAGGTCTGTAGATGTAGCTGCGGAACGAAAATTTAAAAAAAGGTAACCATGGTAGCCAATCTGTTGTTGAAGCAGTCTACGCAAAACCAACTCGGTAGACCAAGACTCTCACTCACAGATCCGACTGGATCATGCAAGGGCGACCGTGGAGTAAACGAAAACTGCAAAGAATCCGACGCGTCACCTCGCAGGACGTCCCGGCAAGGATCGAAATCATCACCGGCGACGCCGGATTTCTGAGGTAGTTCCAGGGACTTCTCAAGAACTACTTGAATGCGAAGATCCCCGCTGTGATCCTCGCCGCCGGAAGAAGATTTCTTGTAGGTTTTCTTTTTGAAGCTCTGGCAGAAAACAATGGCGTCTTGAAGGGGTTTCACAGCAGCGAAGTCCACGTACTTACAACATCCGGGCCTGGCGGAACACTTGTTTTTTTACATTTGCTGTGTTCTCTATAGATGCCATAACAGTGATCGCAGGAATGATTCGCGCCAGTGAAATCCACCACCGCGACCAACGCAGCATGAAGAAACGCGTCAGTGAAATTACACTGTAGCCGTCAACGACGACACCACCAGAACCACCCAAGGCACGTGTACCCCGGAAAAACACACACAGATTTTTCAGGCTTCCGACGGTTCATTTTCATGTACCCCCCAAGGCACATTTTCCAGGCTTCCGACGGTTCCCCAGAAATCAACGAGCAGATCCATTCAATGCACCGAGGCTCCGTAGAGAACCCCAAAAATATGCATTACGATAGCATGGGTTGCGGAATAAGCAGCCGAAAGCATCCGAATACTTCTCTTTATCGGACAGATCTGAAAGAGAAAACAACACATAAGGTGTATACAATACATCTCGAATGTCTTGCGTCTGGGAATGGATATTGAAATTTGCCTCCAGATACTCGCGTGCGGAACCGCACTTTTGACAAAACGTATCCTGACGTTCCGTCGCGCCTCTGCACGAGGGAAGGCTGCAGTCTCCAGTACAAGTACACTTTGGACGAACCCCGGCCATGATAATCAATCTTACTACGCCGATCATTCAATATGAGACCTGGTGCCGCGGACGCTCGAGCATAGGAGAGAATGCAGATCGTCGCAACTCTCGGTTTAACTCGTCCCACAATCGATTGTAAAAAGACAGAGAGAGAGAGAGAGAGAGAGAGAGAGAGAGAGAGAGAGAGAGAGAGAGAGAGAGAGCGAGAGAGAGAGAGAGAGAGAGAGAGAGAGAGAGAGAGAGAGAGAGAGAGAGAGAGAGAGAGAGAGAGAGAGAGAGAGAGAGAGAGAGAGAGAGAAGGAGAGAGAAAGAAAGAGAGAGAGAAAGAGAGAGAGAGAGAGAGAGAGAAGGAGGGGAGGAAAAGGTGGAGGAGGATGAGGAGGAGGGGGGAAGGGGGGGAAGGAGGAGGTGGTGGAGGAGGAGGAGGAGGGAGACATACAAGGAGGGAAGGGGGGGGGCGAGGGAGTAGGAGGAGGGAGGACAAGGAGGAGGGAGGACGAGGAGGAGGGAGGAGGATGTGGAGGGAAAGGAAGAGGGAGGAGGGGAGGACGCATAGAGCAGATTGGTCCCTCCCACATGGTTGTCTATATTCATACACACAGATGTATATATGTATATATTTATATACATATATACACATTTACATATGTATGTGTATATATGTATTGTATCTATGTTTTATATATTTGTATATGTATATACACATATATACATATATTTACATACACATTCATGCTTCGCGGCGGGCGGTTTCTGGCCGCACCGTTCGGGAAATTATGTTCTACAATATGTTAATACCACATGGTCTGGTCGGACGCACGCCTCCAGGAAGGACGTAAGAGTACATGTCCTTGTGCGTCCCACTGAATGGTGATGCAGGCGAGGCCCCTCCTCCCCACTCCTCCTCCTCCCCCCTCCTTTGCTCCCGGCCCAGGCGGAGATCCGGAGCCGCTCGGGCGCGCCCTGCCACCGCGACCCGCGACTCGGGCGCCCAGAGCTGGGCTGGGCCGACGTCGTGATCCTCTGAGATGACAGGGATTCAGAAGCACACGCCGCCATATTGCCTCCGTCGGCAGCCGAGGCTGTCACAGACCTCGTGCCGACCGCTGCACGGCGCGGTGTTGGATCCATCCGCTCCCGTCTGTAGAGTGAGACCACATTCGCGTACGTAGCGGGGTTTGGCGTTTCCGCCTACTTTTGCGCCCAATTGGGTGACGCACTCGGCCTTCGCGAGTCTCGTCTTGCTTCCTCTTTGCATTATCCTTCCTTCCTGTTCCCTCTTCCCTCCTCTCCCCTCTCCTCCCCTTGTTCCTTCCCCATGGGAAAAGAAAAGGGCCCAGAAGGGCGCGGAGCACGCGCCAGCCAGGCGGTGCGTGGGGTGGAGAGGCCGAGCGTTAAGCCAGTCCATCTACAGGAGGAAAATTCAAACATAGTGAAAAAACCTGGGGACATTTTTTTGTTTTTTTTTTTTGACCATTTTTGAATATTTTGTAAGTTTGTTTGTTTTGTTTTGTTTGTTTTCGTTTTTTCTTTTTTTGTTGTTATATATCTTGTTCGTCGAAAATCCCCCTGTAGGGGGACACGCCCGACTTAGCCGAGCGATCGATAACCTTAGTCAAGCGATGACGATCCGAACGGATCTGCACGTGCAAGTCTTCGTATGCCTCCCCTTCCTCCTCTTGCTCGTCCTCCTCGTCCGTTTCCTTCCTCCTCCTGCCCTCTCTTCTCCCGTTCCTGCTCCCCCTTCGCCTCCCTGCTTTCCTCCTCGCCCCCTCCCTCTCCCTCCTCTTTCTCTCTCTCTCTTTCTCCTTCCACTTTCTCGTCTTGCCCCCCTTCGTCCTCCACCTCCCCTTGCTCCCACCATGCTGCGGCTCCTCCCGCTCCTACTGCTCGCATTGCTCCTGTCACTAAGACCTCTCCCCTTTTTCTGTTTTTATTCCGCCCCCCTTCTTCCCTCCTCTATCCTTCCCCCCCCTTTTCCCCTTTGTCTTCCTCCTCACTCTTCCGTTCCCCCTTCTTCCCTCCTCTATCCTTCTCCGTGCTCGTTTCAGCCTAACCACGGCAGCAGGCTTAGATTTTTATTTCCGACGCCCCGCGTCGGTGAAGTGGTATGCACACTTGGAGAAGCGGCGATTGCTGAAGACGTCATCCATTTCACCGCCAGTGTCGTGATTGTGACCACCACTGGCGTCTCTCTGGGTTTACAGGGTGGTACTGGATGAGGTACTGCATCGCTCTTGACGTCTTCGTTGGTTCCGCACGTGGAGCTTGCGAGCAGAGACGTGTGCAGCGCTTCGTGGCCCAAGACCCCCCTCCTCTCCATCCGTTCCCTCTGCCCTTTCCTCCCTCCTCTTCCTCCTGGACATCCTCAAGCTCAAACAGTTCTCCTCTCCATTGTCCGTCATCCCTGCTCCCGCCTCCCTCCCTCCATCCCCGCTTCCTCCTCCCTCCCTCCCTCTTTCCTTCTTTCTCCTGGCCTTCTCAAGTTCAAGCTGTTCTCCTCCCCCTCGTCCGTCATCCCTGCTCCCGCCTCCCTCCCTCCCTCCCTCCCTCCTTCTTCCCTCCTGACGACCTCGCTCCATCCCTCCCTCCTTCCTCCTCCCTCCCTCCATCCTCCTCCCCTGTTCCCGCTTCCTCCTCCCTCCCTCCCTCCTCCCTCCTCCATCCCTCCTCGAGACCTCGGTCTTCGTGGCTACGGTGGGCGCTCGCGCCAACGCACCCTCCCATCTCGGCCGAATCGGACGCTGTATCGTGTCACAAGATCGAGCGCCCCGCCACCACATATCTCGGCGGCCAGCGAGGGGGGAATTGAGAAGGAACAGGCCCTCTCAGAACGCGGCGGGGCTTCTCAGAAGCCCTCCTCGGCCCTCCGAGAAGTTTCCCGTGTCTCCTGGGGGGGCTCAGGACACTTCTCGGAAGGCCAGGGTCCCGAGCCTTCTGCGAAGCCCCGCCCCTGCTCGCTGCCCCCCCCTGGGCTCGCCGCCGATCGGATGTCTGTTTGAAGACTGTCTGGGTGCCTGTGGCAAACCCCGCGACAGTGTCAGCGCAGCATCGCCGAGGTGTGCATGATGGTGATACCGAGCTGCCCCGACGTTGCGCGAGAGGGGGTCTTCTTGGGAGCCTTGAGGCCTCCTTGGGCGTGATGGTTCCGCTGAGCTCTCCCGCAGAGGCTCTGCATAACCATATTGAGGCCGTCTGCATGTTCTTCTAACCCAATCGGTGACCTTGGGGCGTTCTTGGGCCGTCTTTGGGCGTCATCGGGCTATCTTGGGGCTTTTTATGGGCTGTGTTGGGCTTACTTCGATGCGCCCTGGGGCCCTCTGGGGCTACCTTCAGACCATCAGGAGTCGTCCCGCTGTCATCTTTGACGGAACACCGTGGGAAGCAAAGAACAAAGTATGGAACACTTTCTGACTGTTGTTGGCCTGCTAAGGCCCTGCTAGAGGTCTTTCAGGAAGCCTCTTGGAGGATTCGTGGGGTCCCCTGGGGCCTCTTCTGGACAGTGTGCGGGAGGTCATTGGGCCGTTTTTGGCCGGCTTTTGTGGCATCTTGAGCCTGTATTGTGGCGGTCTTGGGGCTTTTTGGGGCGCAGTAGTGCCGAGACGAGCGCCAGGAAAGCACGTTGAGTGGGCGAGCTTTTACGGTGCCCCGCAGGTAATGGGTGGTCGCCTTTGTAAGACTACCCACTAGACTGCAAGCAGGCTTTCTAACACGCCCACGTGTGCCATCGGCACAGGTGGATTCTTGCTCCAGACTGAGGGCGTGGGGCAACCTCTCCAGCCACCGCACAAGCTAGTTTTTTTCTGTGCAATGGTCTACAACGCGTTTTTTTGAGCTGTCGTTGTCATCGCTCTTGGCCAGAAGGCGACGTCAGGTTCATCTCGTCCTGTCACGACCTCGCTTGACCAGCCAGGGTTGGCTGAGCCGAAGTGGGCCCACATTTAATGTGTAGCAGCTCGTGCTAGCAGAAATTTCTTCGGTGTTCACTGTCGGTCCAGCCCAGCCTCACCCTCCAGACCAGGCCTCGTCTTGCACACCGTTCTCTTGCATTCCATCGGTGAGGTTTGTCTATCCTTACTGCGACCCACCTCGGTATGATCTACATAACATATGTATGGCTGTCTTTATCCGTAAGGACTCCGTCCCCTGCCGCCGGCCCCCTCTCTATCACAACGGGATCTATCAGAGTCGTGTCGGTACGGCTCGGCGCTGCCTTAGCGCATCTGGGAACATCATGCGGGGGCGGATAGGAATCATCAGCGCATATTGAGACGTTGGCGTTATCGAAGACGCCTACGGCGAATCACCGCCGCCCCCTGCCTTTTTGGAAGCGCCTATGTGGCCGAACGTTGAGGCCAGACCTGCCAAGCTATCGGACCACGTGTTCCCCGAATCGGTTTGGAAAGCCTTCGGGGAACACGTGGGCATCTTGAAGGTCATCTTGGCCGTCTTGGAGGCCTCTTGGGCAAGCTTTGGGCGATCTTTGGGGCTTTTTGGGCCGTCTCGGGCCAGCTTCGAGCCAACTTCGGCCATCTTGGTGGGTTCCTGGCACGTCTGAAGCCGTCGGAAGCCGTTTGGGGGGCCTCTATGGGCCGACTTGGGGCCCGCTTGGAATGCTCCAGGGCCGTCTTGGAGGCCATCTTGGGCGTCTGGGAGGCCATCTTGGGCGTGTTGGAGGCCTCTTGGGCCCTCTTGGGGCCCTCTAGGGGCCATCTTGGAGGCCACTTGGGCCATCATGGGGCTCTCTTGGGGGCCTCTTGGGCGATCTTGGGGGCTTCTTGGGCCGTCTTGAGCCGTCGGAGAGCCGAAAAGGCGCAAATGCCAAAATCCTTCAAAAACCAATGGAAAATCAATGATTTTGGCCTCTTCGGACTCTCCTGGAGGACCTCTTGGAGGCCTCTTGGGCCGTCTGGGAGGCCTCTGGGGGGCCTCTTGGGCCGTCTTGGGCCGTCTTGGACTCTCTTGGGCCGTTTTGGAGGCCGTCTTGGACCATCTCGGGCGGACTTGGAGGCCATCTTGGGCCATCTTCGCGATTTTTTGAGGATGTCCCGAGCGAAACGGCCGTTTTTGGGCATTGACAGACACATTTTGGGAAATTTGCGGGTGGCCGGCGGGACGGGCCGAAGCCCATTGGGGAGTTCTTTTAGAAAAAGAACCAAAACCAAAACCTGAATCATCCAGCACGCCGTGCACCCCTGCAAGCAGGGGGCGGCGGATCCTAGTGGCCTTCGGCCCATTCCGCCACCACGTCTGGGTTGTGGGTCTGAGGCCTCTTGTATATATGTTGCGGTGTCGTGGGGGGCCCCTCGGGGGCCTCTTGGAGGCGGTTTCGGCGCCTCTTGGGGGCCTCGTTGGGTATCTTTTGGGCCTCTTGGAGGCCTCTTTGGCACGTCTGGGGCGCCTCTTGGGGCCTCTTGGGGCCTCCTGGGGGCTTCTCGGGGCTTCTCGGAGCGCTTCTTGGGCCATCTTGGAGCCCCCTCGGGCCGTCTTGGGGCCCTCTTGGAGGCGTCTTGGGCTGTCTTGGGGCGGTCTTGGGAGCTTTTTGAGCCATCTTGGAGCGTCGGAAAGCCGAAAATGCGAGAACCCCAAACTCCTTCAAACACCTAATCGACGATGTTGGCCACTTCGGGCTCTCTCGGGAGGCCCTTTGTAGCGCTCTTGGGGCCCTCTTGGGCCGTCTTGGATCCACCTTAGGGCGCCTTGGAACACTCTTGGCCTCGGTGATTCGAATCTGGCGTAATTTGGGAGAGTTTATTGCCACGTGGACGCGAATCTTGAATCATTTACGAGGGCTTGTTGCCTCGGTGACGCAAGACTTGAGCAATTTGCGAGGGTTTGTGGCCTCTGGGACGCGAATGTGGTATACTTTGCAAGTGATTGTGGTTTCGGTGATGCGATTATTGTGCGATTTGCCAGGGTTTGTGGCCTCGGGGATGCGATTATTGTATAATTTACATCGGATTCTGGCATCGGGGACGCGAAGATATTGTGAGTGACGTGTTTTTTGGCTTCGGGGACGCAGGCATT